TTCTCAGACCTCAATACAAGATAGAATGGGATTGCTTCAGGTTTGTGATGTTCTTGATTCCTGTCAGCTTTTTTCTCATATTCGCTTGCTGCTTACATACATTGTTGAACAACTCTGAAATGTTTCTATTGCTACATATTCAATTTTATCCTACTGTACGGTAGGAACCCATAAACAGAATATGATGTTTCAGAGAGGTATTTTAGTAAACACTAAAACAGAGAAGGGAAAAGGAAAAAAATGCTTCTGTTATTGGTGATTGAATTACAAACATAAAATAGGAGGAATACTGAAGGCTTCCCCTTCATCAAGGGTTGCCCTGTTGACAACTGCACTAATGCTCTGTTCATCAAAACTAATAAAACTGAATGATGTTTCTACACTTACATTTCCCTATTTATTCATCCGATAATCCCCTCTTACTACTCTAACTTTCAATACTTAACTTTTTTTCCTTTTATCTTTCTTTATTTTTCAATTTCCCAGCAGCCCATCTGTCCTAACTAACACTATGGTTGAAGAAAAAACATGTTTACATTCAAACTCATGAATATTATTATTCATATTAGAATGATCTTCTATGTGGTAACATCTACAAGTTTTTGTCTTCAGATAACTTGTTTTGATAACAAGACCTTTGACTATTAATCCTTTGATTTTCAGTAGAGTATAGACACCTTTCTGCAAGTATGTATGTGTTTTGGGCATACTTGACATGTGAATAAGCTGCATATTCCTGTTCAAAACTGTGCACTAGAATGCTAGTTATCCTATGTAATCCAATTATTTTGTGATTGGATACTCTCAAGAGTTAACTATTAGTATCACATAGTTAGAAAAAGAAGAATTGTGCATAAGTAGAAGATATTAATAATAAAGTAACCATGTTTTCATGATTGATTATTTTTTCATGATGTAGATCAATTAGTTCCAAGGAGAAAAACGAAAAATAATTAATTTTCCTGTCATAACATATTTATTCATCACCTATTTTATTTATTTGTTTTATTGGTTTAGTTGATTTTTTAAGGTCAAATTCCTAAAATAATAGGGAGATTTTTGCTTATTGACAAGTAAAAATATTGTGGAGACAATCAATTAATTGTGCAGCGATAGTATTATCTGAAATCTAGTGCACTTGACTACTTCAGTTCCATCTTTTATTGTGTAATTATCTTGACAATCACTTTGAAATGCGTCAAACCCAAATCTTGTTATGTTATCAAAATTGCAGTTTCACTTTAGCTAAGTTTGCTTTCCTTAATTACATGGTGAGGCTCACAGGTTACTGCAATAAACACAGCTATGGCTGCTCTCACAAAGACTGTAGGTGTGTTTCCAAAGGAACGGGCAATTGTAGATAGAGAACGTGCTAAAGGTTCCTATTCCCTGGGTCCTTATCTGTTCTCAAAATTGTTGGCTGAGATTCCGATTGGAGCAGCATTTCCATTAATGTTTGGTGCTGTTTTGTATCCAATGGCACGTCTTCATCCTACTTTGCAGAGGTCAGTTTCCTATCTTGGCCTCTACAAGCTATAGTTTGGATCAATTTGCATTTTTCTTTCATTTTATTTTACTTTTTGTTGGGGTAGTAGATTTAAATTTTCTGTAATTCTTTATATGATGACGACCAAGAGATGTGCATGATTTTCCAAGTTGTCCTTCACAATCCATTACTTCCCGTTACATTTCAGAGGATTATTTATGTTGACAAGTCCCAAAAGGCTGTAGAGGTATACATATACATAGGTGGTGACCAATGAATGTTCTATAGATAAAAGTTAACATTAAATATGTTCCCTTTTCCTCTTGATCTATTTCTGTATTCATTATAAGAAGAAAAAAAATGCAAGGGTAAATGGGGGAAATGTTTATCCCTTGTGTACCATCTCCTCACTTTCTTTCCACCTTTATCCTCTTGAGAGCTTTATTCCCATTAATTTTTCCATCTCTTATAATTGACTTATTAGTTTGACTTTCTAGATTTGGGAAATTTTGTGGCATTGTCACCATGGAATCTTTTGCTGCATCCGCTATGGGTCTTACAGTTGGTGCTATGGTTCCAACCACGGAAGCAGCAATGGCAGTAGGTCCCTCTCTTATGACAGTTTTTATTGTATTTGGAGGCTACTATGTAAATCCTGAGAATACCCCAATCGTCTTCCGATGGATTCCTAATGTTTCTCTGATTAGATGGTAAGCACAGTTCTGATTTATGTGTGAGTATGAGGATTTAACTTCGACTATATAGCTTGTACTAGGAAACACAACTTTATTGAACTAAATATCCTTGCAGAGTTAAATAATGGGTTTCCCTTGCTTTAATACTAATGAACACCAAATTGATTTATGCACACTTTCAGGGCATTTCAGGGACTTTCTATCAACGAATTTAGTGGCCTTCAATTTGACCATCAACATTCATTTGATATTCAAACTGGAGAACAGGTGAGAGTAGAGCCATGAATCTTTTAAATTCAATTGTAACTATGACCATTTTCAGTAGAATTGGGAAAGAAGGGATATGCTGTGACCACTGGACACCAAAACTTTATAGAAATTTTATGAAGTATCAAGGGAAAAATAAGCTGGAAAGTATGGTTCCATCTGGGTTTCCGTAAGATGTACAAGTGAGGAAGGGAAAAAGAACCTGCAACCCTGTAGTCAACTTGCATGTTATAAAATTACTGAAATATTATAGTTGCTCGAGTAGTAATGCTACTATTATCTCTCCATCATATAAATGCTAAATTTAGGATATTAACCTGGACTTATAATATGCCGTCATTCAACTATTTCTGTTAAAGTTGAAATTAAATTGTGATCTGTTGTCATCTCTTAGATAACCTTTTCAAGAATCACACAAACTACCTGCTTTTCCACTGTCAGAATACATGAAAAAGTTTTTTTTTTTTGTAAATGTGCTTTCTTGATTGCTGATCCAGTTCCCTTTTTTATACGCTTACCTTTTTAACAGGCACTAGAGCGTATTTCCTTCGGAAAAAGTAGGATCAGGGATACGGTGATAGCACAAAATAGAATACTGCTGTTTTGGTATTGCACCACCTACCTTCTTCTCGAGAAAAACAAACCTAAATACCAGCAACTTGAAAGCCCTATTATTGGCCACAACAAACCGCATTTAAAACTTGAGGAGCTCAATTCTGAACAAGTTGATCAGACACTTGAAGCTCCGCCAGTCAGCCAAGTTGATTCCAAGCAGCCCCTTGAGTCATCTGAAGTAGATCTTGTTGGCCCATTTGTCCTAGAAGGTTTGTAATCAGCTGGGCCTACTGCTGTTCATATAAGATATTCATCTATTTTTTTATTGATTTGTCTAATACAGGTGCTAAGTAGAGATACTTTGCAAGGATGATCTGCAAATACTGAGAAAGTGCCGTTTCTATAGAACAGGATCACAATCACAATGTGATAATTGGACAACGAAAACATCAGCTTATGCTTACAGGTTGTTAGTTTTTTGGTCGACTTACAAGTTGTTAGATGTAATAATAAACAGTGACATCTTGGGCTGTCTCATGTTGGTTCATTTGATTATAGTATCTATTTTCATTCAATGATCATAGATTATGTGGAAATCATCCATGAGATGGGTTTTTCTTGATTGTAACGTAACCGCTATGACCAACAATTTGTTGAAATTGAGGTCGGTCACAGATTTCCGTTCGATGAACTTAGTTTTGAATTCCGTTTACGTGAAATGTGGGTTTAAAAATGAAGGTGAGAAACGGGGAATTTTTATATATGAAGAAAAAACTCCGTATAGAAAAATTTAGAAGACAAGAAAAGTATAGGAGTCAAAATATCACCTTTTACTGATTGGGTTAAAAAAGGCTAGAAGATGAATGGAGAATAGCTATTTTAATGAAGTGGAGAGGTGAGGGAAAAACAAAACTCCTTTTAGTTTAATTTAATTCAACAGGAGGAAATAATCTTTCAGTAAATAATACTTGTAATCTCGCAAGGAGAAGACAAAAACAATATTTAAAAACAACTTAGTTTACAAAATTTAAATGACATTATTTTCTTTTCATTTAAATCTTTCTTGCATCTAATCTAATAATAGATAAACGGAAATGAAATAAATTTAGTTATTTTAATTTAATTTATTTTTTAAATCGAATGAGAAAATCATGATTTTTTTCCCGGACATTTGAAGGAGAGAAAGTGTAAAGTAATATAGACTGCGTTGATTGAATTATTTATAAGGTATTAAGTAAATTATCTTTTTTTCTCTCATTTTCATTTCAAATCAATCAAAGGATCTCCGTTTTCTTTTAAAATTATTCTTCTTCTTTTATTTTGTCCGTTAATAGCTTTGTTATTTTCGTGTACCAAAGGTTAGAACTTTGTCATCGTCGATTTGGGTTGCCATCATGTCACAAGGTCAATTTATTGATTTGCCTTCATTTCTTTTAATTTTTTCATTTTAGTCGTTTAATTTATGAATCACGTATTTTGTTCTTATACTGTTTTTTTTTATTTATAAATTTTAATAAATAAAGATGTCACGTAAAAAAAAGATTTATTTTTTTCAAGACTAAGACTTAATTGACGCATCGACATTCAAATAATTCTTTTGAATATTGTATCGTAGGCTCTGCGGCTTGGCCTGACTATCGATCAAGACGTTATTAGCTATGTTTATTTGATTTAAAAATGAAAGTACCTAGTATCTACCAAATTCCAATAAATTATGGTGCGCAATCGTACAGGAAACAAATCCAACGTGGTGACGTAAGAGAAGAAGGTTCCTTATTGGCGTAAGAAACATTGAATTAAACGAACACGCTACTCCAATTCCAATTATGTGTGTTGTGCCGTAATCCGCAATCTCTCTCTTTCTTCCAATTCCACTCCACGGTCCCTTTAAGTTCCTTAACTACCAATAACAACAACATTGCAACCATTTATATATACATAACATAAAAACATTCGAATCACAAAGCTAGCCATTGCAACACGTTGAAGTCAAGAAAATGCAAGCAACCTCTCTATGCTCCCGTGTGCTTCTACCATTCCCTCGTTCGTTGCCTCCCCACAACACTACACGTAGGAGTTTAATCTGTGCATCAAAAAGAGACTCGTTTGGGCACCAATATGATGGCAAGTTGGTGGATGAGAACATGATCCTTCTCAGACTGCGAATCCGTGAGATAGAGATGTTGCAAATGAAGGGTAAAGCTCCTTCGGATTGGAGTGAATGGGAGAAGAAGTATTTTGGGAATTATGATTCGGATGTATTTGAAGCACTTGGATTGTTGCAGAGAATGTTGATGAACACTAGACCTTCTTTTGCCCTCGCCATGCTAGCTCTTCTTATGCTTAGCATGTCCATCTCAATGTCATTACTTGTGTTTCATTTTGTAGAATTCGCTAAGGGAATCATATAATATATGTGAGATCAACCACAAGTAGGAAAATATATTCATAATCACTACTGTACACAATATTCTGTTTCTATCAAAGGTGCCATGCATTGTTCATTGTTGTACAAATGTTCATACTTTGATGATGTACAAATTATGTGTACAACTAACAAAATTCCTTAAACAGTACGTATTCTTTGAAATTGAAAGTAATGTCGTTTTTTCTAAATTTTGACACTAGAGAGAGCCCACTTTATGAGCAGGTCACCATGACTGAGAAAAAAGTGGGGCTGCAAATTAAATACAAGTAAAACATGTTGAATATAATGCGTGATAAACGAGTAATAAACATGATCTTTATATTCTGTCAAAAAAAAAAAACATGCTCTTTATTACTATAGGAGAATATACGCTGATTGTTGAATGATTTTTCATCTTACGTGCGATTATATCATACAATCATCATTATGTCGATTACAATCCTTTAAATGGAAAACTTATGGTTTGTTAATTAGAACCACTTTACCTATTAATTAAAGAGGGCGACACGTACATGTTTAGTATGCAAAAGAAAACACTATTTGTCTATTTCGTACATTCTTTTAATAAATTCTTTGAATTAACTTTATTAAAAAAATTTCATCGTAATACACCAATAGTTTAAACATTCAATCACCATAAATTATAAATTTATTAACTTTTATAATAATTGTTTTAAAAGTTATATAAATCATAATTTGTATTTAATTAATTATGCGCAACATTCTTTATTGACAATGCATGACTGTTAAGTTCTTTAAAAAAAATTAGAAACTTAAAGTAAAGTAAATATTTGAAAAAATAAATGTAAATTAGTTAATTATAAAATTTTAAAATAATTTATTGTAATTTTTTAAATTAAATATATAGTATTTATTTTTATTTGTGAAATGATATTCATTTTCGAAAAAGTTAACTTCTAAGAATTTGGAAACCAAACCCAATTTTAACAAGTTATAATTAGATAAACTTCTTAAGAAATACTTTTAAGAGAAAATAAATTAAAATAAATTTCTAAATAAATTAACACTCACTATTCAAAAGTTAAAATTAGGTTTCTAGAAAAAATAAGAGAAACGAACTTCTATAAATTAATTTATATATAAGTTAATTTTAATTCATGTAAAAATTAATTAATTTAGTTTTTAAAAAATATTCATAGAAAAATTTATTTGGATTTTTATACAAGTTAGATCAATTTCTCTTTAATTTGGTTTCTTGAAATATAATTCTAGTCGTTGAGTTTCATCTTGGCTTTCTTTCTTAAAAATGAGTTAAGATATCAGACGAGATTTCATCTTTCATTGGTTATTATGTTATGAGCTAGACATGAAATCTTTGAATATTTCAATCGTAAAATCAGAAAGAAATAGGATATTAAATCTACACAAATTATTTTATGTATAAACGTGTTTAATTTCTATAAAAAAGGAGTTGTTTGGAATTTCTCCAAAAGATCTTCCCCCGCACACTGCTAACGCCATTGTACCAGAAATTAGAAAATTAGGAATCATATGCCATCACATTCACATATCAAGAGTAACATCACTCCCACACAACGCCAACACCGCTATACCAGAAAGTAGGAAATTAGGAATCGTGCTTTCGTTTGTTTGAAATCATTTGAGTTTGTTTGCATGAATTTTCTATAAACACATAAAAAAATGATTTTTTTTATACAAAAACTAGCTTATATATATATATATATTTAAAAAAGACTAACTCGAGAGTTTCTATAAAGTATTTCATCTATAAGTTAATTTTAACAATTTTTTATTTCTTTTTTCCTTCCATCTTTTCTCTTATAAATGTTTGTGAAAAATTTTAACTAAACAAACATTTGATATTCACCCTTTTGAAGCTACGCATGATGGAGTTCAAGTATGAAGTTAAATCTCACATTAGTTAGAGTTGGATATGTAGAATAATATATAAATAAGAAAGATTTACTTATTTAATATTTTAAGGTTTTAGGTTATGTTGTGGCGTCAAACTCACTTGTGTGACTTGTTTATTATATTAGAAGGCTTGAGAGGAAATAATTGAAAACTCTTATACATATTCCGATAAATGATAAAGTCTAAAGGCGTTAATTGAGACCCTACAATCCTTAATGAACTTATCTTATGAGCCTAAATTTAGTAAGATTAGTATAAATAATGAAGTTTAAGAAGATAAAAAGATATTTTTATATTTATTACATAATTAATTATCGTTGACTTGTTTAGAACCAAATAGTAACTTGAGCATTAGAATGTCTTTTGTAAATAATTTATCTCTCATTCTTTTAAATGAGTATGACTAAACATTATCAAGTTTGTTATAGGTAAGAGGTAATAAATATCCGGACGAAAACTTAAAGAGAAGATTCAAGTGATAGAATTATCAATATACCATCGTGCATATGTACTTACTACTTATTAAAACTCTTGAGAACATTTAAAATTGTATATGTAGATGAAACTTTTTGAAATGATTACAATTTAAAAATAAAAAAAAAAGAAAGAAACATGAAAAGTTATATGAATATCAATAATTTTTATAAAAAAGCATGGAATTAGCGTGAGACCCACGTTGGAAAAGTAAATGTATTCTAGATTGTAGTTTGGTAACGAGCAGAAGAAATACTAGTCCTTAGCCTCTTACGTGCCGTTTTTTTTTTTTTCATGTTGAGAAGGTCAATCTTTTCTAGACATGCATCTTAGCTTTTAGAATCAGAGTTGATTTCTTCCTCAAAATTCAAGTCTCAGCTACAACCCCAACTCTCTCACCTCAATCAATATCTATAACCACTCAAGTCAACCCTACTTCTCTCTAAACTTATTATTAAGCTAAATGTTTTATTATGCAGAATGCAGAAAAGGGCTGATGCCGATCAACAAGAAGGAAAACGGCATGCATATGATATGATATGAAAAGTGTATCTGAACAATTTCTCGTATAATTTTTATTTTATTTTTTATAAATATTAATTTTATAATTACTACTCTTAGGATACCATTTACCAAAAACCAACAATTAGTTATATCACCCTATCCCTATCTGCTTACCTTCACTTTGGTAATTTCTTCCCCCACGTTTTAATTTTGCAGGTATATATTAATTTCCTGCAACAGCTAGAACCAGTACCCCCAATAATCTGTCCCAAGATAATTACTTAATCACTCGCAAGTTAACATGTCTCACTCTAGTTTTTAATTAATTAAAATATCACCATTACTAATATTAGAGATTGACAAAAAACCTAAATCTCAAATTTATTTCCCGCCGCTTTCTTTAAAGGTCGATTTAGAACCTTAATCAAATAGCAAATTCGAGGTCAAGTACGAACCTCGATGCTTCCATTAAAGGTCGAGTTCGAACCTTAATTAAATAATCTATCTCAAACCTGAGGTCGAGTACGAACATTGACGCTCTCGCTAAAGGTCGAGCTCGAACCTTAATTAAATAGCATATCTCAAATTGGAGGTCGAGTCTGAACCTCGACATTTCCGAGGTCGAGTATGAACCCCGGCGCTTTCTTTAAAGGTCGATTCAGAACCTTAATCAAATCACTTCACTCGAATTCGAGGTCGAATACGAACCTCGACACTCTTGTCAAGGTTCGAGTTCGAACCTTAATAACTTATTCGGATGTCAAGTCCGAACCACATATCCGAGATCGAGTTCGAACCTCGATGAAACACGCACCACCCTAAATCTAAGGTCGAGTACGAACCTCGACACTATCAATAAAAGCCGAGTACGAGCTGTATACCTAAGGATGAGTTCGAACCGTGACGAAACATACATGACCCTAAACTTAAGGGCAGATACGGACAACCTATCCAATTCACTACACTCCGGTTTGAGGTCAGCTCAGAACCTTGGCGCCAATAAATCAAGGTCATCGAACCTTCACAGAAACGCTCACCCGAACAGAAGTCTGAGGTCGAGCCCGAACCTCCCTTAGCATATGAGGTCGAAAACGAACCACAGCATCCGGATGCGAAGTCGAATATGAACCTCGCCAAAAAATTCGTTTTATTCGAAACCGAGGTCGAGTATGAACCTCGATGTCCCCGCTTAAAAGTCGAGTTCGAACCTTAGCTAAATCATTCTGCTCAAACCTAAGATCAAACCCGAACCTCACCAAAGCCTAAGGTCAGATACGAACCCCGACACTTCAGAGGGTTATGGGCATATTGGGCCATTGGAAGCCCAAGTGGGGCCAACAGCGGGAGGATTTGGTCAAGCAGCAAGAGGACCTGCCCAAGTTGAGGGGCCGACTTCAACCCTGGAAGGAGGCAAACAAGATTCTGAGGGAAGAGAATAAAGCTCTTAGCACAGCCCTTGATGAGGCGAAGCCTCAGGCAGAGTGATGACGAACCTCTGCGGGCCTTCATAGAGTGCTTCTCCAGCATCTCGGTGAGGATCCGAAACTTAAACCCCGAGGTCGCCCTTCACTCCATGCTCATGGACCTCAAAGCTGGCCCCTTTGTCGACAGCCTCTGCCGAGAACCCCCCCACGACATGGATGAACTTCGCGCTCGCGCGGCCGGATACATCCAGATGGAGGAGCACTCCGCCTTCCGCGACCAGGTCCGCGGGAAAGCCCCAGCAAAGCCGGAACAGGGGCATAAGGATAAAATCAAAGTCAACAATGACAGCCAATTCAAGAAGTCGACTAGGGCAAACAAAGGGGGGAGATACGACTTTTACACTCCCCTGAACGCACCTAGGGTACACATCCTGGAGGAAGCCAGCAATAATAACCTGCTCGCCCTTCCACCACCGGGTCACACTCCCAGCAGCGCCGACAAGTCCAAGCACTGCCGGTACCACAGGAACCATGGTCACACCACGGAGGAATGTCGCACACTCCGGGACCGCATTGAAGAGCTCATCCAAGCAGGTCACCTCGGCCAGTATGTCCAGCGCCAACAGAGTAACAGAGGTGGCTATGGAGGCCGAGGACGCGGTAGAGGTCGAGGTTCAGGAGCCCG